CTCCTATGCCGACCATGAAGCCAGTGCATCCCGAAGTGATGCCAACCAAAGGTAGTGTGTCTCCGGCTCCGGCTCCTATGCCGACTATGAAGCCGGTACATCCCGAAGTGATGCCAACCAAAGGTAGTGTGTCTCCGGCTCCGGCTCCTATGCCGACCATGAAGCCGGTACATCCCGAAGTGATGCCGACGAAACCCCCGATTTCAGAAGGGCTTATGGTTCGGGAATGCAAGAGATCGATACAGGCAGTTCCCTCAGGTTGGGATCAAGTATGCAAGTTCTTTTGCGAAGCCTACGCCCCGGATGGTGACTTGACTTTGTGGTGTCCTACCGTAAGGACTTCTGAAGATCTGGTCGAATGTTTGGTGGATCGCCAACCCTATTGCGAAATGATCTTAGAGGATGAACGGACCGACTTTATTGTTCGGATTGACGCAAGGCTAGAGCACGAGTAACAAACAACTTGTGCAACTAAGCATAACCAACGAGGTATTTTTTATTATGAATTATTTATTTATATATGGATTTAAGTGAACCCCTGATGCAATCAAACCCTCCTGATGCAAATCCTGACGCAATGGCGGGATGAGGCAGTGGTCGTTAGAAGCTTTCATGGTCACTAACACCCAAGCAAAAAGGGTCGTAGGTGCAAGCACGCGTTTTGAGCGAACGTGTGCGAGAACATGGGGTCGCTGAGAACATGGGGTCGGTGAGAACATGGGGTCGGTGAGTCTGCACATTACCCGGTTGTCTGCACGCTGCATACCCAACCCTTCGTTAAATTATTCCGCCGTTAATTCTCCGGTTACCAGTATTCGCTCAAGCAAGCGTGTTGGGACGGCCTGGTCACGAAGGACGGCCTGGCCGTGAAGGATGGCCTGGTCATGGGATAAAAAGGAACACTGGTTGGTACTTGGGTGATGGTGAGGCAAATTCTTTTTCAACCCCGATGTTATGCAGATACGGGAAGAAGATTATGGCGACGTATTGAGTAAGGTGTTTATTGATTATATCTCCCATTTGACCCCACACACACTTTTTCACATTTACGGTTTGCAGTACCTTTACGGTTTGTACTACCTTTACGGTTTGCAGTACCTTTACATTTTGTACTACCTTGTCATTTTATTTCTTGATAGAGCTGAATGAACGTGAAGTAGCAACCTGGTTGCGACAAAGAAAGAAGGCCTTTACAGGACCTCGGCCGCCTAAGTCCATCGCCCGAGCGGAGAGGATCCTGAACAAGATTAGGATTTATGGGGAGCTCCGAGAAATCATCGAAAATCTTCGGGCAGTAGACATGGAGCTGTACGTCGAAGAGCTGGCGAGCGTGTTAGTGTCGGGTCTGTCCGGTGGTCCAACAAATGTGAACGTAGCAGCTGGTAGTAGCAGTGTTGCTGGATCCGGTGTATGTCCTCCAAGTGTATCATTTCTCAGCGTGTCGTTCCCTTCCTGTAATGCTAGTATGAATGCTCGTTCGCCGGCTGGCGGTGGGTCGGCGGCTGGCGGTGGGTCGGGAGCCTGTACGTTAGCTCCCGTCTCAGACCTGGGGGCGGCGGAAGCTGCTTCTGCGCCAATTTGTGAACAATCTGCTTTAAAGACGGATGACAAGGCGGATAACCTAGAGAGCAGTCCGGCATCCGGTCCTGGGAACGTTTCGCCCCCCGTATCCGGCAGTAGCAACCAACACGTCAGGCGAAGGAAGATCTGGTTCGTTGTCCTAACTGCGGAGATTACGAGGCAATACGGCCAACAATTTCTCCAACCGTTCTTAGCCAAGATTGCTAAAGTTGAGGACTATTCGGACAAATACTTTCTCGTTAAGGCGCTCGTAATTCTCCAGGAGGGGAACGTGTTTGATGCGCAGCGGGAAATACGCGACATGTTAACGAGTAAGACCGCAAACGCGTGTGACACACACAAATTGTTTAACAGACACACACACATTGTTTAATACATATACATTGTTTAATGCATACGTATGTATGTACATACGCACGTGGGTAGGTACATATGCACACACGTGTGCATAGCATAAAGTTGACGTGGGTGGACATACAACCAGTTAAATATACATGAAGTAAAATGTTGGTTGTTTAGAGTTGTTGGATAGGAGCAGCAATCTGCATACGTACGTGAGTTTACGGAAGCGTGGACAGTCTGTATCACATTTGTGTCCGCATCAGTGGGAGGAGACGGAAGTGTTTTGGTTGTTATCGGATTTGCTAGCAGCTCATGGTAGCGAGTTATTAGGTGCTGAATGGCGTGGTTTAGCTGATGAGTTGCCGGATCATAATATGCCTTCAGAAGCGTCGATAGATTTGGCTGGCATTGAGATTTTCTTTTCGACTTCTTTTCAGGAATCGATTCGATCTTTATTTATGAAGTTCGTTAAGCAGCGTGCGATCATATCAATTCTTATCGTGTCAGAGTTGTTGATGCAAGTTACTGAAGAGCTACATGTTAGTCGCGTATCAAAAGTAGGTGGTGATAATGAGTTAGCAATTAAACTTACAGCTATTCTTAACTTCTCATATCGACTTTCAAAAGTTGTCCTCTATCTCATTACAGGTCTTAACCTACTATCGAAACCACTAGCACTCGATCAATTACACATCAATAAACTTGTCATACTCATGGGAGTCCTTCGAAACAACCGATATAACAGTTCAGCAGACCAAGACGACTCACTTTTATCCGCTCTGGACCCTGATATTCTACTCCGTAACAACAACCCTGACCGTACCTCTGCGAACCAAGACGGTGCCTCTACGAACCAAGACCGTACCTCTGCGAACCAAGACGGTGCCTCTGCGAACCAAGACCGTACCTCTGCGAACCAAGACCGTACCTCTGCGAACCAAGACCGTACCTCTTCGAACCAAGACCGTACCTCTGCGAACCAAGATGGTAGACACCAAGATGGTAGACACCAAGATGATACAGACCAAGGTGACCTTGACCATGGCGCTGAAGACAATACTGGTAATGACGACGGTGTTGGCGCAAAGGAAAAAGACGTCAACGATGACGACGACCGTAACGGAAGTTGTTATCAGCTCGGGAGCACTGCGCATGAGGTCGGCGCCACTGCAACTGAGGTGGGCCCCACCGCTGCCGACGCCCGACAGTGGTTGACCGGGGCTTCACTGGTGCAGGAGATGAGTGGTTTGGTACCGCGTTTGTTCCAGGAAGAGTTTCCGTTGTTGTTTCCACATCTGCAACAGCTATTGGAGGAGCTACGCTCACACTCGACAGTCGGCATTATGCGCCTTAATACAGGACCCGGAGGCGTCTCCGCGGTTCTGGACTCTGCGGGTGAGGGTAAAGTGCCTGTGGACGTGGAGGTGAAATGGAAGGACGAGATTGAGCGTGGCTTTTACGAGAGCTTTCCCGACTTAAGAAACTTGATGCCGAGTCTGCTGCAGCAGGAACCAGAGCTGGAGCTTGATCGCAATCCACTGGGCCCGCTGCAGTCAGGTTCGACTCTGCTGCAGTCAGGTCCAGGTTCAGGACTGCAATCAGGGTCGCTGCAGGCAGGGTCACTGCAGGCAGGGTCGCTGCAGGCAGGGTCGCTGCAGGCGGGGTCGCTGCAGCCAAGTCCATTGCAGACAGGTCCGGGTTCAGTGCAGCCAGGTCTGTTGCTGGACGGAGGTCCATTGGAGGCGGGCCTGTTGGAGACGAATGGCTTGGAGTCAGGAGCGTTGGAGACAGTGGGTGGCCGGAGCGAGTCAGGAGGGCGTAGTGAGTCGGCGTTTAATGGGAGCACGACCTTTGACGTGTTTCTGAATGACTTTCTGCGATTTGCGCGAGGGTGTGGGTATATCGACGGGGCTACGGCACATGGTGTGGACGAATACGTGCGTACTTACTTTCTGAAGTTGTTGGATACACGGACGAATCGGCGGAAGATGGCGAAGGCATTTGTGGGAGTATGGGAGCCGAGTTTAATGCCTTTAGTGTTGCGTTTCGCAGCGGTAGTGGATGCGTCGACCGAGGGTTCGAGTCGCGTTATGCGCGCAATGGCGGAATTTGCTCGAAACGAGTTCTATTCCGCTTTGAAAGGTAATAAACTCGAGCAGAAATTGAGGTGGTCACAATTTCTAAGCGAATTGTGCAAGTTCCGAGCAGTTGCAGTGGGCGACATGCTGGACATTCTTTGCCACATCGCACAAGTGAGTGTCTTCAGCGTTCCCGCCCATGCCGAGGTTCTTTCGTGCATCCTCGAGAATTGTGGTCGATTCCTCGCAGGTACTTACGGCGCAGATGTACGTCTTGCGAACATACTCAAAACCCTAGAACGATTACGCGCACACACCAAATCTATACCACCACGTGTCGAGGTCTTCCTCGAAGACCAGCTTCAAATTCTCAACGCTGCCTGCCTAAGAATGCGCGGCCAATCTACACCACTCTGGGACAGACTTATCAACAAAAGGGAACTCGCTCCCCCTCAACTACTCTATCTCAGACATCTTATCAATAACATTGCTGCTCAAGGACTCTGGAAAAATCCAAATCAATCTACCACTCACAATACCGCCCAAGGCGGTACCCGCTCCGATTCCGGTTGCAACAAAATACCTTCCGCTGGTGCTAGTCAGCAAGTAACCTGTCGGTTACCGATTTCGACTTGTGAGCCCCAACCTACCATTCTTTTTACCGAGTTGGTGCGGCGTCTGGAGACGCTGGAGCTAACCAGCCACTCTGTCCTGGGCGAGTTTATGACCTGTTCTTTGGACCCGAACAATTACAGTACGAACAACGATTATATGGTGGAATTCCTGTCGCTTTGGTCGTCACGAGTGGAAGGCGGTAATTTGTTTGTAGAGGCGTGCGTTGATGAATTAATTTACCGAATGCTCTACCGTCACGACCGTAACAAACAGAGCCGGTTGATGGAAGCGCATATCCTGGCTAAGTTCGTCAACTGGCGATTGGTGGACACTACCGTCGCCCTTGATGTGGCCTATTTCCTCATGGGCTTCGCTCGTACGCCTTTGGCCAGCTCGCACTTCAAGACCATCTTTGACGCTGTCGCTGACGCGGCTTCCGCCGACAGGGCGGTAGATGGCGCCCGCGCCGGCGCCGGCGCCGGGACACTCCCGGTCCCGGCGGGACATGGCCCAGCTGGGGCCATCTCGGAGGCGCCGTTTGACGTGGTCTCCAGACTGTACCGGTCTCCTGCTCGTCGAGCGCAGGTGTTGACACAGCGTGAGTTCCAAGTGGAGTTCGAGACGTGTCAGTTTGAAACGACGACATGTCCCATCAAAAACGCACTAGCTGAGTTGCTATACCGACGCAAGCTTAACCGTTTCGTCTGTAGTGCGGCTGGAGCTAACCTACGACATCCGAACAGCAACGTGGAGCCGAGTACGGCAGCATTGCCGGGTAGTAGTTGGCTGAACCGATGTAGTACGGCAACGACATCGATGACCACCTTCGAAGATGAGGAGCTATATCGTTACAAACTCGTGATTACAATACTACGACATTGTGGTCCAAATATCGTGCGACGCGTCTACCGATCGCGATTGACCTTCATTCTTGACCTACTGTACTATTGCGTTACGTTCGCCGTACAACAACGTGGATGGCTGAGCAGTCACCTGAAACTCGACTACGATGAACTAGTTACCTTCCTTAGCTACAGTCCCGCTCCTGCGTCTTCGCCCGCTCCCGCGTCTTCGCCCGCCCCCGCTTCTTCTCCCGCCCCCGCTTCTTCGCCTACCGCCAAGAGACCAGGTCCTACGACAAAGAAACCAAACCGAAATAATGACGTCCTGACGATCGCTGAGACTACACGAGGACAAGATCTATGGGACCTGCCCCATGCTTGTAACATACTTGCCAACTCTCTTGGTGAAATTTGCGCTGAGCTTCAGGAAACCGAAAATCAATTCAAACCGCTGTTGGGACGACATGCTCTTCTAAATGGGCTGATGAAACATTGGACTGAACCCAGACTGGACGGTCGGACTGGGACTGATGCCCTGGGTGCGGGAGACAGCCAAGACGGAGACCTTTTATTCCCTGAGCACACACGTGTGCGGTGTGGAAACACACGTCTGCAATGTGGAGCCACGGGTATGGATATCGACAACTTGTTGGACGGAGGGAACGACGGAGGGAACGACGGAGGGAACGACGGGGCATGTGGCTCGGAGGGCGACGGATGGGAGGAGGTAGACCAAAGTCCATTCGGAAAGAACTTGGAGGAGGATGAAGAGGATTGTTCAGGGTTCGATCGGGAATTAACAAATTTGGTGAACGAGTCATTGGATATCGCTAAGTCCACCGCGCCTCGAAACCCGGGTAGCGCATTGGCCGAGATCCGACTACCACCAAAGGCCGCCCCTGCCGCCATCCAACCCTCCGATGACGGCACCGTCCCCTTTAAACTCGTCACACGAGCCAAGGGCAAGAGCACATTCCGCGCTCTTCAGGCCCCTGCTGGTACTACCATCGCCACCGCGCTCACCAGACAACTACCAGAATCAAACACCGACTCCAAAGTAAGACACACCCCCACGCCACGAGTCGGTTGTTTGCGTCATAAGTCGGTTGTTTGCGTCATAAGTTGGTTGTTTGCGTCATAAGTTGTTTCTTAGCTGGACCGATCGGCACTAAAAAAGTTCGTCCTTGAGCGGGCCATGAGCGATGATCCTTTGATGGACTATTCCTCACCGGCCGCTTCTACGGGCCAATATCGACCTCCCGAAGCGTCCCCGTTGACCCGGCAGCTTCTGTATAGTAGTAGAGCTCAGCCGTCATCTTCCAGCCGGAAGAAGTATGGTGGCGGATCAAAAAAGAAACTGAAGCCGAACAGGGTCAAAAACACACTCGTTTTACCTGCCGAATCCGACTAGTCGATCGTGCTGGGGGCTTTCGGGCGGCGAAAGATCTTGGGTGACACTTTGTGGCAGACGGCTCTGGTAGAGAATTCCGCGTTCTGAAACCAGAGTCTTTCCCGGCCACCGCAGCCAGGGACGTTTTTATGCAGCAACAAGAATTTAGCCTGTAAGCCGCTATTTCACGACGACTCCTGCCTGTCCTTAAAACCTCTTCCTCACCGTGCGTCCAAACCGCACTGTTGCTTCGGTGGAGTGAGACCTTGGGTGGAGTGAGACCTTGGGTGGAGTGAGACCTTGGGTGGAGTGAGATACCTTAGTGATAGGTCTTGATGATAGGCCTTGGCGGGGTGTGTGGTAGGGTAATGTCTTTCCTTTATTTAGAGATGAGGTCTCGAAGACGGAACGCAAGTGGAAGTCTATGGCGCAGCGAGGACTGAAGAAGTTTGCGACTGATCATTCCAAAACGTTCCGGAGACGGATTAAACGTGGGATCCCGAATCGTTACCGATGGGTGACTTGGCAGATTCTAACAGGTATGGACGAGTTTTTGAAGTCGACAAAATGCGCAATGTTGATACCTGAGATATTTGGAACACCTGTATTGCCTCGATGCGATGGTCCTGGTGTAGGAGATTTTTCTGGTGCTATTAAGGGAGACCCTTCTGTCAACGGAGACCCTTCAGTCAACGGAGACCCTTCAGTGGGCAGTTCAATGGCTGGTTCAATGGCCGGTTCGGTGCACTTGGCCCCTGTCGACCCGAGCGAGCTTTCAGAAGAGAAGGTGAAGGCGCGTGCTTTCGCCAAGTTCCAGCAAGAACTGGCCCGGAGGACGGATGAGTACAAGAAGCAGCTGTTGAAGAACAGTCACTCCCTGTCGCCTAAACAATACTACCAGAAACTGGCGGCGACCAAATCTTCATACTTCGGTTTAATAGAGATCGACACATCGCGCACGTTTCCGGAATTGCCGCAGTTCAATAAGGCCGTGCAGCTGCAACTCCTGTCCATTTTGGTAAGCGCAGCATACGACCCCCTCACCCTGGGAGACCCCCGTCACCCTGGGAGACCCCCGTCACCCTGGGAGACCCCCGTCACCCTGGGAGACCCCCGTCAC